GGAAGACTAGGAAGGAAAGAAGGAAGAAAGAGAAGGAGAGAAGGAGGAAAGAAAGAAAAGAGGGAGGCTGGCTAGGGTGGATGGTGGTGCTACAGTAAAATGGGATGCTCTATCCATGTGGGAAGGTTCCAGATTTGCATCTAGAGACCTCTCTGAGTACGCCAGGCAAACATCTCCCCTGACCCAGGGCTGGCTGAGGTCGGGGGTGGATCACAGTATGCAGACCTCGTTCGGGGCTCCATAGTGCAGTGGTTAAGTACGGTGCTTCAGGAGTCGGGTCTGACCCAGCTGACTGACCACCATTTGAATCCTAGCCTTGGAGACTTGAAAAGCACCTTGGGTGTGCATGCATACATGCCCAAAATCCTGATGGAGAGAAGTAGAGGAAAAAGGATTGTGGTGTGAACACGCCCCTTTGGGAAGGTTCTCTCTCTCTCTTCCTCACTGACAGGTGCACACATCTTCTGACAATTAAAGAAAAAAGTAGAAGCATATTGGGAGTGATGGCTCTGTCTTTCTCTCTCTCTTGCTTGCTCGTGGAAGCAATAAATAAACTTTAAAAGGGGAGGGGCTAGCCCTGTAGCCTAGTGGTTAAGGGAGCTGGATCTCACATGGCTGACCATGGTTCAAATCCTGCTGCTGGGTGCATATGTGTGTGCCTCAAATCCTACCAGGATGGAGAAATGGAGGAGGAAGGATCACTGCTTGACCACACCCCACTGTGTGTGTGTGTAAACACTTTCTTCCCCTTCCTCTCTCTGTCTCTGTTTCTCTGCCTCTCTCTGCACAGTGTGCATGGCTTTTGGCCAAAAAAAGAAAAAGTGTGGGAAAAACCGGAAGTGGGGGGACCAGCAGATGGTGTAATGGTTATATTGTCAGTCTCCCATGTAGTCAACTGTGGTTCCAGTTTCAGGCCCGGTGGCTTAAACCTCACGCTGGGAGCGTGTGCGTGAGTGCCCAAAATCCTGAGAGGAGACTGGAGGAGAGGGGACTGTGGCATGGCCATGCCCCCCCGGGGGGGGGGTGATTTCTCACTTTCTATCTCTCTGCCTCTCTCTTTCTCTCTGGACAGTGTATGTGCCTTATAGCAAAAACCTCTTAACAAACAAACAAACAAACAAACAAAATGAATGAGGAAAGGAATGATGGGGGGAAATGAGGAAAGGAAGAGAGACCGGGAGCATGACTTGCCCAGGAGGGGCAGTGGTTCAAGTACAGGCAGGCAAAGACTCAAGCCGACAGGGACTCCCTTTCCCTAGGCAGCCGCCTGCTGCGTGGACAGCACCTTCCCATCCGGCCTCATCCTCCTCAGCGGCAGGCCACTGGCATTGAAACTCACAGCCCTCCCTTTTCCTGTAGGTGGGGTTTCCATAGGAAAAAGCTGCTTCTCTGTTTCCTCAGCCTAGCAACTGTTTGGAAGCCAGATCCCCACATCCTGCTCCACTGGGTCAAGTCCCTCTTGGATCGGCTCTTGTCCATCATTTGCTGAAGTGGACCAACTGGTGCTCCAGTGGGGGATGTACCCCAGGAATTTAACTTTGTCGGTGCTCAGACTTCCAATGAAGATGGCCTTGCCCGGGAATCCTGCTTGTTCCATCATCATCTAATTATGGGACGAGGTTGCGCCAGCAGGTCTGGAGGCAGGAGAACGGGGCTAATCAAGCCATCCAGGAAGCGCTGGAGGACTTGTCCAGCCTTAAAGGACTCTAGCGATTTCTGCATCTAGCCCATGCTGATGGTAAGCATGATGCAACTTCTGAAACTTCTGCTGGGGCTTTGGGGACCAAGCAGCTACTTATTCCTCTCAGGGGGTTGTCAGGGGGTGGCCACTCTCATGGTGAAATACCAAGTGTCAGAGGAAGTGCCATCTGGGACGGTGATAGGGAAGCTGTCCGGGGAACTGGGCTGGGAGGAGGAGCGTGGGCAAGCAGGGGCCGCCTTCCAGATCTTGCAGCTGTCCCAGGCGCTTCCCATTCAGGTGAACCCTGAGGATGGCTTGCTCAGCACTGGGGGGCGGCTGGATCGAGAGCAGCTCTGCAAGCACCAGGACCCCTGCCTGGTTTCCTTTGACGTGCTTGTCACGGGGGGTTTGGCTCTGATTCATGTGGAGATCCAGGTGCTGGACATCAATGACCATCAGCCAGAGTTTCCCAAAGGTGAGCAGGAGCTGGAAATCTCTGAGAGTGCCTCTCTGCACACTAGGATTCCCCTAGACAGAGCTCGCGATCCTGACACCGGCCCTAACACCCTGCACTCCTACACCCTGTCTCCCAGCGAGCACTTTGCCCTGGATGTCATCGTGGGGCCTGATGAGACCAAACATGCAGAACTCGTAGTGGTGAAGGAGCTAGACCGGGAAATCCAGTCTTTTTTTGATCTGGTATTAACCGCCTATGACAATGGGAATCCCCCCAAGTCAGGCACTAGCTTAGTCAAGGTGAATGTTCTAGACTCCAATGATAACAGCCCCACGTTTGCTGAGAGTTTGCTGGCAGTAGAAATCCAAGAAGACACTGCTCCTGGTACTCTGCTCATAAACTTGACTGCCACAGACCCTGACCAAGGCCCCAATGGGGAGGTGGAATTCTTTCTCAGTGAACACATGCCCCGAGAGGTGCTAGATACCTTCAGTATTGATGCCAAGACAGGCCAGGTCTTTCTGCTTCGATCCCTAGACTATGAGAAGAATTCCGCCTATGAGGTAGATGTCCAAGCAAGGGATCTGGGTCCCAATTCTATCCCAGCCCATTGCAAAGTTCTCGTCAAGGTTCTGGACATCAATGACAATGCCCCAAGGATCCACATCACATGGGTGTCCCAACCGTCACAGGTGTCAGAAGCTCTCCCCAAGGACAGTTTTGTTGCTCTTATCATGACAGAGGACTTGGACTCAGGAAACAATGGTCTGGTTCACTGTTGGCTGAACCAAGAGCAAAACCACTTCAGGCTGAAAAGGAATAATGGCAACACATACATGCTACTAACCAATGCCACGCTGGACAGAGAGCGGTGGCCCAAATACACCTTCACTCTGTTAGCCCGAGACCAAGGGCCCCAGCCCTTATCAGCCAAGAAGCAGTTCAGCATTCAGATCAATGATGCCAATGACAATGCCCCTGTGTTTGAGAAGAGCAGGTATGAGGTCTCCACTCGGGAAAACAACCTCCCTTCTCTTCCCCTCATTACCGTCAAGGCTCATGATGCAGACTTGGACATGAATGGAAAGGTCTCATACCGTATTCAGCACTCCCCCGTTTCTCACCTGGTAGCTATCGACTCAGACACTGGAGAGGTCTCTGCTCAGAGATCACTGGACTATGAAGAGATGCCCAGCTTTGAGTTCCAGGTGATCGCGGAGGACTGGGGACAGCCCCGACTCTCATCCAGCATCTCTGTGCGGGTCAGCCTTCTGGATGCCAACGATAATGCCCCAGAGGTGATCCAGCCTGTGCTCAGTGATGGAAGAGCTAGCCTCTCAGTGCTTGTAAATGCCTCCACAGGCCACCTGCTGGTGCCCATTGAGACTCCCAATGGCTTGGGTCCAGCAGGCACTGACACACCAGCACTGGCCACCCACAGCTCCCGGCCATTCCTTTTGGTGACCATTGTGGCAAGAGATGCAGACTCAGGAGCAAATGGAGAGCTCTTCTACAGCATCCGGAGGGGGAATGAAGCCCATCTCTTCCTCCTCAGCCCCCACCTGGGGCAGCTGTCCATCAACATCACCAATGCCAGCAGCCTCATTGGGAGCGAGTGGGAGCTGGAGATAGTGGTAGAGGACCGGGGCAGTCCCCCCTTACAGACGCGAGCCTTGTTGAGGGTCAAGTTTGTCACCAGCGTGGACCACCTCCGGGAGTCGGCCCGTGAGCCTGGGGCCCTGAGCACACCAATGCTGACGGTGATTTGCCTGGCTGTCCTGCTGGCTGTCTTTGGGTTGATCTTGGCTCTGTTCATGTCCATCTGCCGGACAGAGAAGAAGGACAACAGAGCCTACAACTGTCGGGAGGCCGAGTCCACCTATCACCACCAGCCCAAGCGGCCCCAGAAACACATTCAGAAGACAGACATTCACCTTGTGCCTGTGCTCAGGGGACAGGCAGATGAGCCTGGTGATGCTGCTCAGCCCCACAAGGACGCCAGCAAGGAAGCACTGCTGGACCCAGGCTGGGACCCCTGCCTCCAGGCCCCCTATCACCTCACACCGACCCTATACAGGACCCTGCGTAACCAAGGCAACCATAGAGAGCTGGCAGAGAGCCGGGAGGTGCTGCAGGAAACAGTCAACCTCCTTTTCAATCACCCGAGGCAGAGAAACGCCTCCCGTGAGAACCTGAACCTCCTAGAGCCCCAGCTGGCCATAGGCCAGCCATGCTCGAGGGTCCTGAAGGTTGCTGGTAGCCCCATAGGGAGGTTGGCAGGAGACCAGGGCAGCGAAGAGGCCTCAGTGAGCCCCCCGGCCTCCTCTGCAACCCTACGGCGGCAACGGAATCTCAATGGCAAAGTGTCACCTGAGAAAGAACTAGGACCCCGACAGATCCTGCGGAGCCTGGTCCGGCTGTCTGTGGCTGCCTTTGCGGAGCGGAACCCTGTGGAGGAGCTCACTGTGGATTCTCCTCCTGTTCAGGTACCTCTGGCATGGGCTGCTCTTTTTCCTTGGTTCCTTAGAACCACCAGCAGGTGTTTCAGACACTCCTGCCCCCACATTCACGTCTTAAGCTGACAACTTCATGGTGCCCTGAATAGCGTGATTCAGGGCACCGCTGTGGGGCCAACAGAACTTAGCTGTGTGATTCTGGGCAAATTACTGTCTCTGAGCCTCAGTTTCCTCATCTGTAAAGTGGGAATCACAGCATCTCTCTCTCATAGAGTTGTCCTAAGGATTTGATAAGTTAATTTCTATAAAGCATTTCTGGTGGCTGGGACAGGAAGACACACAGAGAAGATAGTGACTAGGAGTACTATTTTAGAGCCAGTTGGTGATGTGATGGTTAAGGAGGCTGGATCCCACATGACTGACGGTGTAGTCTGAGTCCTGCCACCAAAGACTTGGCTTGAAAAAGCATATTCAGAGACCAGCAGGTGGCATTGTAATCAAGGTGCTGGACTCCCACATTGCCAGCTGTGGTTTGAGTCCCAGATCTGGCAACTTGTTTTCTCATTTTCTCTCTCTCTCTCTCTCTGGTGAGCACACATGCCCCATAGCAAATGAAAAAATAATAATAATGATAAATAAAATGAAATCATTTTTTAAAAAAGCATATGTGTGCATGCATGCCCAGAATCCCAAAAGGAAAAATGGAGGAAAAGAGATTGTGGCATGGCCATTCCTGTGGGGAATGATTTCTCTCTCTCTTCCTTTCTCTGTCCCCAGCGAGGGCATGTGCCCTCTGACAAATTAAAAAAAATTTTAAAAGTTAAAAAAAATGGTTCAGCTTTGGAGCAAGGTTGCCTGGGTTCAAATCCTGACTCTACCTCTTCCTAGCTATCCACAACAGGGAAGTTACTCAACTTCTCTGTTGAAGGGGTCAAGCACCTGTCTCCTAAGTTTGCTCAAAGGTAAAATGAGTTGATGGACTGGAGCGTAATGACTGGCATGTAGTCAGCACTTGGCAAATGATCGGTATTATTTTTGCAAAACACTTCTTCTCCAGTCTCCACCTGCCCTCATCTCATCTGAGCAACCTCTTTTTTTTTTTTTTTTTTTTTTTTAAGAGAGAGATTTGCTATAAAGCACATAAACTTGCCAGAGAGACAGAAATACAGAAAGCAAGAAATCACCCCTCAGGCGAATGGTCATGCTGCAATCCCTTCTCTTCCATTTTCCTCTCATGATTTTGGGCATGTAAGCACATGTGCCCAGTATGAGTTTTAAGCCACTGGGTCCAGGACTTGAACTGCGGTCAACTATGTGGGACTCCAGTGACATAACCATTACGCAATCTGCTGGTCCTGCAACCTCCGTGTGATTCCCATGAAGCAAGCCAATTTGGGCGTCATTGCCCCCAGGCTCAAGGACTATATTTGACTTGATTGAGGCCCCATGTTTATCAGCTGGTACTGCAAGATAGAGCAGTGGAAACAACCTTAGAACTTTAGAGTTAGCCAGATCCAGGTTCAAATTTCAACACAGACACTTAGGAGCTGGACTTACTTGGGTAAGTTCTTTAACATCTTAGCCTTGTTTTCCTCATCTATAAAATGGGAACAATGGCTCCACGCTTACCCTGTGAAGATTTAATGGGATGATGAATGACAAAGTATCTAGCACACCAGCTGCCTCCAGCCTTCAAAGCTTGAGAAACACGTTCTGAAGGTGGGCATCACCTCATGCCTGTATTAGACACAGAATCTTTTTCAGGTGTGGTGGCTGATCACACACCCACACTGCTCCTTTAAACTCTAAACAGTTTTCACTGTGCCAGCCAGGCTGCTCGCCCAAGGCACACTTCTGTTTGGCCACATCATCAGCTCAGTTTTCCTGTAGAGCAAGCATGCAGCTTCCTTGCTTCACACACACACACATACACACGCACAGCAAGCCACGTGAAGATGATCCAGCTGTCCTCCTAGGAATCTTGCCCTGGATCCATGTAGACCCAGAGGTTGCCTAGAGCCCTCCCCCAATTCATCTTCCTATTCATTCATTCCTTGAATGTTTTTCTTGTTTATTTGTTAGTGGGTGTGTGTCCACACTCCAGAGAAACAGAGAGAGAGAGGGAGAGGAGAAAGCACCCTCTCTGGAGGACAGTCACTCCACAATCCCCTCTTCATCTCTCCTACCTTTTGGGATTTGGGGCATACATGCTCATGCATCCAGTGTGCTGCTCAAACCACGGGGTGCAGGACCCAAACTGTGTGTTTGGCCATGTGGGATCCAACTGCCTAACCACCAAGCCATAAAACCTGCCTATCATCAAATGCTTTTTGTATAAACTCTTTGTGCCAAACACTGTGCTGACTGCTGGTGAACAGGACCGTGGAAAGCAGAGTCAGATAGGAGTTCAAATTCCAGCCCCGCTGTGTAGCCTGCATGAACTTCAAGTTTTCTCTCTGTAGATGGGTGTAATGATGTGTCTCTCCTTGGATTATCATAAAGATTAAGTGGAATTATACACCACTGGACAGTTACTAAGGGTTTATCATGGGCTCTAATAATAAGTGATTTATATACATTGGCTCATTTTTTTAAAAAAATAATTATTTTACTTAGCTTTATTTATTTATTTTTTAATTTGACCAGAGAGGGACAGAGTGAGAGAGAGAGAGAGAGAGAGCCAGTGAAAAACAAGCTGCCAGGTCTGGGACTCAAATCGTGGCCGGCCATGTGGGAGTCAAGTGCCCTTAACCACAATGCTCCCTGCCCGGCCCTCCATTGGCTCATTTTAACTTCATTTATTTTATTTATTATTTTTTTAAAAGGATTAATGAATTATGATTATTATATTTTCGTTTGTTATAGGGCACCAGAGAGAGGCAGAGAGAGAGTGAAAGAGAGAGAAAGTGAGAAAGCAAGCCACCGGATCCAGGACTCGAAACGCAGTTGACTACGTGGGAGTCCAGCACTTTAACTACCACATCACCTGCTGGTCCCATTTAAACCTCATTTAAACCCACGTGATCTGAATCCCCTTATTATTTGCTTTTTTACTGCTGAGAAAACAGGCTCAGAATGCTGAAGTAAGTCCTCAAGGGCACACGGGTGGCAAATGGAGCAGCGGCAGAGTGAGGATTTGGGTCTGAGTCTGACTGACCCCAGGGTCGGGGCTCTAGATGTGAAGTGACCCAGGATGACAGCACTCAGCGCAGGACTTGGCATGTGGGGTGTGTCCTTGAAATGTCAGCTGTCACTCCAATGAAAGGTGGCAAGTACATCAGGAGGGTTGGTTCTAGGCTGGGAGATGGGCTGTACCCATGGCAGGCAAAGTGGCCCTCCCAAGTCACAGTGAAACCCCAGTCTTGGCCACCTCCTTTCCCATCTAGTGCATCTGGACAACACTGAGAAGAAGGCCGGATGGGTATTTCCAGGCCTACTTTAGAGAAGAGAAAACTGAGGTCTGAGCATGTCTAGAAACCTGCCTGACACAGCAGCAAGCGAGAAATGACCTTGAACTAGAATCCACCCCTGAGGACCTGGTCTGTGGCTTCTCCCTCCAAGGCCTTATAGAGCCTCACCCCTTCCCACCCACCTTTGACCCCATTCTCCAGCCTTTCTGAACTTGACTATCTCTTCTGGTTTTCAATTTATGATGTTTTTGTCTGAAACCCCCTTCACTTTCACCCAGACCCTACTTTTTTAACTTGCTGAATTCCTGTAGAGTGTTGGATCTTGCCAGAGGTGCTTGGTATGTAGGATGAATTCAATAAATATTTGCTAAGGGTCAGCCTCATAGCGTAGTGTTTAAAGGAGCCAGATCCTACACGGTCAATCATGGTATGAATACTGAGCTTGGCAGTATCCATGCTGGGCACATGTGCATGTATGCCCAGTATCTCTACAGGATGGAGAATGGAGGAGAGATTGTGGCATGACCATGCCCCATTGGGGGGTGCTTTCTCTCTCTCTCTCCCTCTCTCTGTCTCTCTCCAGTGAGAGCATATATCCTCTGGCAATTAAAAAAAAAAGTCTATTGAAAGAAATGAATAAACCTTTCCTAGTACCATCCTCTCTACTTTCTCTCTGCTCCAAACTGCTCAGAGACCCCCATTCTTTCCTGTCACCCCGAGGCAACCCCCTGTCATCAGCACTCTTCCCTGTCTCCATGACAGACTGTGAGCTCCTTGAGGACAGTGACTGGGTCTTCTCATTCTTGCTCCAGTAGCAAGCACCATGCTTGGCACAAACAAGCATTTACTCAGTACTTTTTAAATGAATGAAAGGACGAATACATGAATGACTAAATGATACCATTTTGCCTCACTAGGACAGAGACTTATCTCTGCCTCACAAAAATCGGCTGAGTGTTTGAATACTGCTAAAAGGAGAAAATGGCTCTCTGAGCTAATCCTTATCAAAGTAATGATACATTTATGGTCAGGAAATGCCTTCCTCACCGCATCCCACAGAGTCCACTAGGAGTGAGCCACTTGGGGGAACAAGCATGAGGGGATGGGTTTGGAGGGTCTCCATGTGCTCCCTGTGACACCCAGGTCCTGGAGTGACATGGCCAAGCAGGGCTCCATTTCCTCTGCCCCTCTCTTCCCTATCCCAGGTCCCTGTCTTGTCCCCCAGCACCATCCCCCATCTGATCACACAAACATCTGAAGCCAGAGGAAAGACTATAAAAAGAAAGCACCGGCATTGAGGGAAACATCCGGCGAGGAAGTGTGCTGGGTCGGAATTGTGTGGAGTCAACAGATTTTTCCTGTCTTGTAGCAAATCTCCCAGCTGCTGTCCTTGCTGCATCAGGGCCAATTCCAGCCCAAACCAAACCACCGGGGAAATAAGTACTTGGCCAAGCCGGGCAGCAGTGGCAGGTAAGCAGCACGTAGCCCAACTGGCCCGCCCCTCGCCCTGCAGCCTCTGTGAGGGGAGGACGAACTTCAGTCCCCGGGAGAGAGCAGCAGGCAGCATCCATTCCCCAACCCCAGGAGGCTTGGTCTTGGGGCAACTGTATGTATAGTATTTATAGGACCCAGAGCCACTAAGGAAGTGACTTCATCCCTGATGCTCTGTCTGCCCCCTGGTTACGGAGGGGCTGTACCTTGGCTTTAAATCTGCAGCTTTTGCCTCTCTTTCTCAACCCAGCAATAAAAACGTGAAGGCTTCCTACTAAGGACTGGAATGTGTGGGTGTGTCCCCTTGGGCTGTCCTGGAATCTAAGAGACCACATGAGGACATCTAATTTAATTCATTGTTATGGATGGAGAAACTGAGAAACTAAGTAATTTGACCCAACTCAGCCCTGTGAACTTGAGTTTGATAATCTCTCAGGACCTCAGTTTCCCCATCTGTAAAATGGAGATTATAACATTTCCTCTGCAGTGATTGGGGTAAGGAGTTCATAATCAAATAAATGTATTCAAAGCCGCTAGCCTGTGCCTGGCACATAATAGATGCACAAGAGATGCTGAGTCCTGGGACCAGCAGACGGTGTAATGGTTACATTGGACTCCCACATAGTCAACTGTGGTTCAAATCCTGGATCCAGTGGCTTAAAATTCATGCCGAGTGTGTTTGCATGCGTGCCCAAGATCCCAAAAGGAGAATGGAGTAGAAAGGATTGAGGCATGATCATTCAGCCTGGGACAGATTTCTCACTTTCTGTCTCTCTGGTGAGTGCAGGTGCGCTATAGCAAAAATCTCTCAAAAAAAAAAGAAAAGCGATGCTAAGTCCTTTCCCCTTAAAGTGACTTTGCTCAAGGTCACATAGCAAGTGAGTGACAATGCTGGGTCAGCCCTCAGGCTTCCTGGCTCCTGGATCAGTGCTCTTGCCCTGACAACTTGGACCTTGTGTTTTGCTCGGGTGCTGAGGGGCAGCATAGAGCAGGCTGGTTCAGGCCCAGAGTCACAGCAGCCCGCACTGGGATTCTTGCTTTACCATTCACTCCGCAGGGCCTTGGGGCAAGCTGGATCTTCACAGGTCTTGGTTTTCTTATTTGTAAAATGGGGATCACAACAAGAGAACCCCTTCCAGCTGTGAAATGTTTGAACGAGACGTGTATGTACCTATCATAGCATGAGGCCTGACATTGCCACCTCCCTGCTGATCTCTTCGTAGCAGTGGAACTGGCCACAGGAGAAAAATAAATAAATAAATAAATAAAAATAAAGCAGAAAGGACTCCTAGGCCTCCAAGTCCCTTTGGAAGGGACTGCTGAGATGAGGATTGGGTCTGTGAAAGCGAAGGTTTATGAGACAGAGGAGTCAGGTGGAGACAGCAGGATTTGAGCAGCTTTAGGCCTTGCATCAGCCACACTATCCATGGACCCTCTCTCAGGTCTAGGATTTGGTCTTAAGTAGGGAGGAAGGAGCATTCAGACACCCACTCCACAAAGTATTTATTAAGCAAGTATTTATTAATATGTGCAAGACCCTGTTTGGAACACTGGTGAGAGCAGAAATGAGGGAGACAAAAATCTGCCTCGCTGGACCTCAGGCTCGGGGGATGTGTGGATGAACGCACAGGCTCACCCTGACTTTACTAAGCTTCTCCTTTGTGCCAGGCAATGCAAAAGCACGGGTGGAACCATGGTGAGTGACCAGATCAATGGATTCACTTTCACTTCTGTTTGCTGAGTGCTTGCAATGTGCCAGGCACCATGCTAGGCCCTTTACCTACAATGCTTCATTTTTTTTAAAGAGACATTTTTGCTATAGGGTACATGCACTCACCAGAGAGACAGAAAGCAAGAAATTACCCCCCAGGAGGAGATGGCCATGCCGCAATCCCTTCTCCATTCTCCTCTCAGGATTTTGGGCACACATGCACACACTCCCGGCATGAGTTTTAAGCTGCTGGGTCCAGGACGTGAACCGTGGTTGACTATGTGGGAGTCCAGTAACATAACCATTATGCCATCTGCTGGTCCCTACAACATTTCTCTCTCTCTCTTTTTTTTGGAGAGGTTTTTGCTATAGGGCATGGGCACTCGCCAGAAAGACAGAGACAGAGAGACAGAAAGCGAGAAATCACCCCCAGGGGGGATGGCCACGCCGCAATCCCTTCTCCTCCATTCTCCTCTCAGGATTTTGGGCACGCATGCTCATGTGCCTGGCATGAGTTTTAAGCTGCCGGGTCCAGGACATGAACCACAGTCTACTATGTGGGAGTCTAGGAACATAACCATTACGCCATCTGCTGGTCCCTACAACATCTCATTTTAACCTCACAACACTCCTTGAGGTGAGTGTTACTCATGACTTCCATTTTATAGGCAAGGAAGCAGAGTAAGCAGGAGGGCTGAGAGCATGTAACCCAGAGTAGTCTGACTCTAAAAGCCCAGCCGCGTGTCCAGTTCCTTAAATCAGGAGTCTCTAACCTCTGGGCCACACACTGGTACTAGTCCATGGCCTGTTAGCAACTGGGCCATACAGTAGGAGGTGAGCAGTGGGTAAATGAGTGGAGCTTCATCTGTATTTACAGCCACTCCCCATTGTTGGCATTATGGACTGAATGCCACCTCCTGTCACATCAGCAGCGGCACTAGATTTTCCACAGGAGCATGAACCTTTGTGAACTGCACATTGGAGGGATCTAGGCTATACACTCCTGATGAGAATCTAATGATGATGACCTGGAGTGGAGCTGAGGCAGTGATGCTAGTGCTGGGGAGTGGCTGCAAATACTGCATTACGTTGAGTGGCATTATTATTTCATTATATTTATAATGGGAATAATGGGAATAAAGTGCACAAATAAACACAATGCACTTGAATCATCCTGAAACCACCCCCCTACACACTGTGTCCATGGAAAAATTATCTTCCATAAAACCAGCCCCTGGTGCCAAAAAGGTTGAGGACCACTGCCTTATAGACATGAATGAACCCTGGTGTAAATGGATGAATGTTCAGGAGATGAATGAATGCATCTGTGTGGGAATTTCCTCACTCGTAGACGGGTTGCTTTC